AATGTACCAGGAGGAGCTACTGAGCTTTGGGACTCCCCATTGGCAGTAGGAGACAGTCTGAAAAGCTACAGTTCTCTCAGCGTGATTTTTGATCCCAGTAAGGCTTCTACTGGGCCACATTTAGTGCCTCGACCCCCCCACTTTAAAGGAATTGTGTACATGAGGTTCTATGCGCTCTTGCGCATTCAGCGCGTACGTTATAGGCAGTATAACCCTCGGTGTAGGGTAGAGGAAGCGTTGAAGAGGTCGAGACTATATACGTGCCGAGGTCCGGCAGATGCCAACCAATGTGCACCTGCCGTTTTGGGCGGAGAATCCTGCCTTTTTGAGCACGCGCGAGAGCCTGGGGGGGACTTCTGCGACGCTGATACTAAACGGGTACAAGCCTCCATTAAAGACAGTTGCTCGTCTACTAAGTCTTTTTTAAGAGGCGCAGGATCAAGCCTACAAAAGTGGTGGTAACTAGCTGGCCCGCACCATAGAACAAATCAAAGCGGGCTGGATAAGAGTATTTTGGGGTGCAGGCGTTTCGCGTGCTATTGCCGAGGTCATTCCCCGGCAAGCAACGAGGCACTGAGGTTAGGGCTCTCCTCAGACCAGTCAACAAATAACGGATGAGACTCGGGCAGAGGGAGGTGCCAACGAGAGGAGCTCCGGACGAATACGTGATGTTTCTAAGTAGCAAAAGGAATCGGATTAAACAGTATATCTGATTGTAGAACTAATACTAGCTCCCCCGAAACGTTCAATCATCAAAGGGGTTTACAACATTACCGCGGGGCACATTGTCAAGGATGAGCCGGACGAGATGCTTGTGATGGAAGTCCAGCGACTGCGGGGGTAGATTAACTTTGTACCCAAGGTCAAAGTCAACGACTCGCAATACGTAGGACCGGTGACTGAAGGGTGACACCAGCGACGGGAGACCGGGAGGTGAGTCCGGGGCGAACAGGACATTGTCGTACCGGAGGTCTTTGTCAAAGATATGTAACTCCCCAAAATCTTTGGTGATTCTCCATAAATCATCCTGCACGGTTTGTGGGATAGGCTTCCCCAGAGGCAAATGCCCCCCGACGCGCTCCAGGAGCAGAATCGATATCGGAAGCTTTGTCGTGGCGACGCGGTCCCACCCGAGGACCTTCATGTGCGGAGGGATCTCAGAAACAGAATAACCATAGCAGCGGGGTATTGCGACGCCTTGTAGGCTCTCCATCTCCTCGTACATCCATGCCTCCTTGGAGAGGTTGTCACAGAAGTCGCGGTTCGCGACTTTAACGACTAATGGCGGTATATCGACAGGTACCGAGCAGGACCAGACGTCAGCGATGTGAACGGTCCCGACACGTCCCTGGCCGAGCTGACCTGCAACAGTGATGTCGAGGACGGCATCTCCAGGTTCAGGGAGAGAAGATGGAGGCCGGGCTGGCATTTCCGGGAGAATTCGTACTGACTGTGTAGGATCGTAGAACCGAAGACCGTCCTGGGCCTCTGGGGGTGTCCGAATCAGGTGGAGCGTCATAGGACTTCCAGCCTCGTCTTCCACGAGGCCGCGCAGTATAACAGTAGCCACAGTATTTGCCACCTTCAATGTTGATTAATTTATACTTGTGCGGCATTGTGATAACGAAGGCGTACCAACGACGGTAAAGACGATAGAAGGGCCATCTTGGAAGGAGTTTGTCTTGGATGCAGGCGCACGATATGCTTGGTCTTTCATGCAGGATCGCATAACGGCGACTCGGCCTTACCGGGGATTAGTGCCGAAGAATGCCGGGTTGGCCCGGCGCCACTGTCTCTTCCCGGTATGTTTCCTCGTCATGTTGAGTACGCAGCATGCAGTCCGAACCTTCCATTCCTCGGGGAGGACTTCGGTGGCCTGGAGAGGACGTAATCCCGCAGCCACCTCCAATCGATCCAATGAATCAAATCGCACGCAACCACTTCGAGTCATCCATAGTCATCCGTGAGCGCTTTCGACCGCGACGGCAGTCCTCTCATGATGAGGCTTGATTGGGGTGGCAGATCAACCGAATACACATGCTTCTCCACACGCTCATTCCCGCCCGCATGAGTGGTTCTTTGGTGAGCCACTGACGAGGCGTACTGGTAGGTACCTTCGACGCCCATATTCCAGCTATCGAAGAAGGGCAATTCATTGATGAGTCATATAGAAAACGTCTTGTACTTGCAATCAGAACTCCTAGCTTTGCTGAGCCCAGCCTTGAGGCTTTATACTCTGGACCCCGTGCCTTGTTCTAGCGGAATCATCCTCCGGCCTCGTTTAATCATATTTCGCGGTGCACATGGGAAGTGTACTATAAAGGCAGGGCACATTGGAACAGTATGAGTCCTTCCCAGAGCCTTTCTTGCCGACTAATAGCGGTATAGGGCGGCTACGTTATATCCGGCGACGTTCACAACTTGCATTCCTCGCGCAATGGCTCAGCCTGCCCCGAATCGCGACTTTCTTTTCACGCCTGACAGGTTCCATGGCAATTCGACCAATCCACTTCCTGTCGGACTGTCTGTTGTGCCGAATATTCCCAACAGTGGGTTTCCTTTCCCAACTCCGGCAGGAACTCATCTTACTACGACCATGACATTAAAGCCTGTTCGTACAGCCGCGATCACCACTGGCAACTCTAAGACAAAGACCGCAACCGCCATTCGAAACTTGCCGCGTTCTAGCGAGCAGTGTGCCCAGGTTCTCAGGTCTCACAATCTATGGGAGAAGCTCAAGTCGTACTGTCCGGGGGGCGGCGGTGTTACCCCTCCTGAGGCACCTGTACCCTATCCGTCCCATCCGCTCCACAACATACTTCTTCCTGCGGATCTTCTGACCAATAGAAACTTCCATCAGCCATTGAATTTGGTTGACCGAGCAAATACGGCCTTCCACAACGCGCAAGCGATGGCTGTCCAGAATTTGACAACTACGACTTGGGTCCCCGGCCAGACATATCAGCTGACAGCCGGCGACCAACAGTATAAGGCGATCGTAGATCTATGGGGACACTTCCTTCTCACCGTCAACAGACCGCCCGCAGTCATTACAAGTGAACCTGCGATGCAGGATGAGGTTCTGGTTCAGATATTAGAAGTCCTGAATCTACTTGTGCGAGTGAGTATCACCCAGGAAGGGATCTCAGCTCACGCCTTCTGATAGACTAGGTACGACAACTTCCAGCATCTTCCCCCCCCCCCCCCGGACATGAACATCCCTTTCGACGGAGGTGCTGCCTCCTTCTACCCACAGTGGGGCCGTGCATGCGCCGGTGTTCACAGGAACCGAAGCATAGATCCGAAGACGGACTACAAGAAGGCGGGGTTTCCCGACTTTCTATTCTATCGAATAGCCTCTCCAGAGCAGACACCGGCAGTCGTAGAAGTGAAGACAATGTGGGTGTACCCCGACGCGCTCGTGGACGATATATGCAGCGTGGAAGTGGCTGACAGTATCACGGGCAAATTTAAATTTGTGGGGGAAACCAGAGCCCATGCATTGATAAGACAGGTACGTCCTGAAAAGTCCTTTCGACGGCGAAGGTAAATGACAAGCACAACCTGGTTTACCAATTTATCAGATCTGGGGGGAACTTGTGTTTTTCTCCGCCACTTCGGGTTTTTGGGTGAACGGTAGCTGCGTTTTTATCTTTGTCAGGACCGGGCGAAATCAGATCACGCTGTCCGATAGGAAGCCCTTGACGAGTCCCGATGTCATACACGCGTTGGCTGGCATGACGTTCGCAGCCATGGACACCGGCTTGCGTCCTTGGTTGGTCGACTGGCTGTGCCCCTACAATGACCGTCGCGCTGACTGGGTGCTGTGAACAATGTAGTCCTATTCGTCGCAACCTAGCATGTAGTAACTCTCCTCTATACTGTACTTGGGGGGAGTGGGCCAATGCTGTGCATGGCTGGTTATGAGTCCTGAGCTGGGCATAAGATACTCCCTATTTTACACTGTACATCATAGAGCTGACACAAATATTGCTATCTTTCTTGAGTATTATTTGAATTTCACTAGACTTCTCAGGATCATCTTGTATATTCCTTGATTTGCTGTAGAGCTCTGAATATATTATGAATTTCCCGCATTTTTCACAATTTTTCTGGCCCTTCTGCAGCCTGCAATCAGTTCCAGATACCAATGATGTAATGGCTCTGCAGACCTGCAGAGAGCCTATGTCATAGAAGGCAGGAGCCAATCATATGTCATAGAAGGCAAGAGCCAATCAGAGTCCAGGAATTCAAACCGACGCGGCCCGCACCTCAGCCACTGACTACAAGCCACTACAATAGTCAATTCCCACGATAAGCAATAAAAGTAAAACCGCCATGCAGACTAGGACAAGACACACAATCGATAAGTTCACGAAAATATTGTTGTAGACCCGTATAGCATATGCCCCAGGCTAGAGGAAATAAAAGAGAGATAAGACGAAGATTCGAGCCCGCAAATGTGCAAACAATGGTCCCAGAGACTACAAAAATGCGCCAAAAGTGGTTTTGTAGTCTCACATACAACCGGACTTCCAATCGGAGTTTCAACAATGTAGTCTGCAATACAAAACATAACTCCCACGACTCCTCGGCACAAACGGTTCTCACGGGGTACAACGTTCGGCACGCAGGCATATTTTGTGCGTAAGGACTCGACCTTCGTACCTCAGGACTCGTAATATGTGTATTCTCCAATCGACTTCATCTTGGGCGTATTGAAAGATTTTTGCAGCGCATGCCTTCTCTTATATGCTATGAGTTATACGTCTAATTTTGTGGTAGCTTGTTTCTTTGACTATACGGAAGCACGCGCGGCGTGGAATGAGATGTGTGGCGTACAGCGAACTGGGGGTACTATCTCATTTGCATATACATCATTATATAGCGATGTATATCAGCCTGCCAAGCTGTGACTACCTCGCTCTCAAGTATCTACACGTTTTAAACCTACTCGATGTCTCCGTCGAAACCTGTATTACCCACCAACGTGTACCTCCCTCCGTCTCAATAGACGCTCACGATCGTCGGAATACGTGCGCCGGTATTGGTGTTGGTGACAGACACAGCAAGAGGACAAGTACTACGCCGCACAGATGCCTTACACATCCGATCTATACGGATAACGGCGACCGCCCGAAAATCATTGGAACGCCCTGCAATCGCAACGAACACGGATCACCGGCTCTGCCCAATATGCATACTTGCACTCTCTTCTCTACTCCTTCCCCTTCCCCACATCTACTCAACATTCTCGACCCGGAGCAATACCTTCCTCCCCGCACCGTCCTCCACCTTCCTCATGGTCTCCCGCACGAGTTGTGTAGCCTCCTCATCACTCGTGCTGCCAGGGATAGTGACGGTCTCGTGCTCTGGTTCTCTCAGCTGACGAAGCACCACAGCGGGCAGTGAGTACGAGTACGAGAGCGAGAGCGAGAGTGCACAGGCCCTACCTTCCCTGCACGGATGATATCGACGATAGCGTTCATCAAGGCCTCGCGCTCCTCTCTCGAGTGCTCGTTATACCACCGACTCTGCAGAGACCCGCATTAGCGTACAGTATCATCTGATCTCTAGTCCTGGACCGCTACGCACCTGCCAGAACCCACAGGTCTTGAGGTTTTTGAAGATAAAATACGACGTCGGCACGCTCAGCGGCTGTTTCGACATCGCGCCGTACGAGACGAGTGTCGCATCCGCGCCGAGAAGACGCAGCATGGAGGTCGTGTCCTTGCCGGAGACGCAGTTCAGCAGGAGCTTGGGGTCCTACGGAACGTACATTGCGTTTGCGCCAAGCACAAAGAATGTAAGCAGATTGAACGGGAGGTACCGAGGAATTGACGTACGCTACCGCCTATGAGCGACTTGATGTGGTTGATCGTAGATTTGTCGGACAAGTCATCGTAAGTGAAGACGTGTGTTCCTCCAAGAGACTGGAGGTGTTGCTTTAGTCCGTCGATATCCGTTCTTTACCGTGGTACGTGAATACAGATGCATGCAGAGGTTCGAAAGCAAGATACTACCTGTTGCGCACGAAGTTGATCGTCCGCAGGCCACGATGCGCGGCGATCTGTATTACTGCCTCTCCTACCTGTCGCGTTTTAGTGAATGGTGAAATAAAGCGTCTGAAGGCTTGGGACGAGACCTACGGCACTGTTGGCTCCATTCTGTAGCACCCAATCTCCCTCCTTCAGGTTGACGAAGTCTCGAAGCATGTTATACGCTGTCGGCGGGTTAACCTGTCGGAAATCAGACCATGCTCTCCTTGTATAGCCCAGCTACCTATCGGAGCAGAAATGCAGACCAACTAACATTGGCGATCTATGTACTTCCTGCAGAAGCACTCACCGTAATTGTTGCGCCATGTACCTCCCCAATGTCCTTCGGTACTTTGATCACGTCCTGCGCACCTACACACCGCTCGCTCGACCATGTCCCCGCTTGCTGTTTACCCATAACCACCCAGTCCCCTTCCTTCAACCCGAACTGTTGCTGCGCTTCCTCTCCCACGCTCTTGACGATCGCTAAGCCCTCGTTACCTCCAACATACACACCGCTGCTGTGTCCCAAGGTCTCAGTCTGTTTCTTGACGGGGTATACACCCTGTACTAAGTTCCTATCCGCCGGGTTTATAGGAGACAGCAGGAACTCTACGTTCACCCCATCTGGAGGCGGAGGCGGGAGGTCGGGATAGGAAATCGTGGAAAGCACACTGGATGGTTCGCCATTACTGCTGTATACGACAGCTCTGTTGGCCAGGCGGCGCAGAGTTGTAGCGAGTTTGCGCGTCGGGAGCGACGATACTCGCGGGATGTGGAAGGGACGGGAAAGCCGCAACACAGGCGAGTTGACGGTCCGGAGCATGGCTGCTGAAGGCAACCCTAACCCCAGTGGCATTGTTTCGAATGCAAGGATGCCGAAGTCAAGCCGAAGCTGCTAGAAGTTGCCGCACCTTATCACGTTATTTCGGAGTTAATCTCAACGTCGTACAGGCCTAAGGTAGCTAGAATTCATAGAAGGATCGCTCTGGTTGGACCAGACATGTTCTGCTTTCTGACTGACCTGCGTTGTACCATACGATTCAGCTTCCTTTCACCACGACTTGCGATGCGACCCGAGACCACCGGCAGGTCTGCACGCCCTGGCAGCCAGCCCGAACGGCAGATGTCATGTTAGGTGTGTCATCTTTCCGAGCGACAGAAGGAGGATCGATTATGATCCACATGATGATCATGAGTAATCCACTGATTCTGACGGTTTTAAAGGGACCACAATCATCCTGCATTGACATCATCGTTAACATCACATATACGCTGCTTCAGGAATGTCGCACAAAGCTATCATCTTTCCTGCTCTTGGAGCAAAGCTCGAAGTAATTTCCGTCCCGACCCCGGCTTTGAGGGACGACCATGTGCAGGTTGCGCCCGACTATGTCTCGCCAGCACCGATTGACGTATGGCAGGGGCATCATGGCATCGTGAGCTGCATTGCGTTTCCGCCATCACTTCTGCACGCTAAGATAGGTTACACTAGTTTGCGACATTCCCGGTCATCCCATGCGGCAGCTTAGTCGGTACAATCATCGCCGCTGGAAGCGAGGTTACGCACGTGAAGAAGGGCGACCGCATCGTAGCAAACGTCTTCGGCCCTCAAGAGCAGAAAGCTGCTCAAGCAATCGTTACTATACCCGGTAATCGGGTTGGAAAGGTTTATTTGCCATTCTTATGATTGCAAATAGACAGCACCTAACTCGTAATCCTCAGCTTCCAAAAAACGTGGACTCAGTGGCAGCTGTCACCTCCCTCGGTTTGGTTCCAGTATTCCACAGCGTCACGTCCAAGAGCAACGGCTTGGGTTTACGGCTGCGAACCGGACTCCCAAACGAGGACTTCCCTCCCCTCTCGGCCGAGGAGCAGGGAAAGCGGATCCTTATCTGGGGCGGGTCCAGCGCCACCGGACAATTCGCCGTCCAGATGCTCGCTTTCACCGGATATCGCAACATCATAGCGACAGCCTCGCCAAAACATCACGACTATATCCGCAGCCTCGGAGCAAGCAAGGCCGTGGACTACAACAGCCCTGAGTTCGCGAGAGAAATTGGGGAGGTCGACCTAGTTCTGGACTTTGTCGCCAATCGCAAAGAGACGATCCCTCGCATAGCAAAAGTTGTCCGCAACGACCCGGCGAGCAAGGTGGCTATCTTCGTACCGATCAAATCTGGGGGCCGATCAGCTAGCAATCTCGGAGTGGAGCTCGAGAAAGACGCGCTTCCAAACAAGGTCCAGGTGATACTGGTTACCTCGCATATCTACGAGCAGGTGCGTGAGCAACTGTTTGAAATTTTGAGACTTCGATCGGTTGCCGCTAACACTAACTATTGATGGACAGAATCCGTTCTTGAAATCACACCTGCAGACTGAGATTGTCCCCGGTCTGCTCGGCCAAGGAGCTGTAAAGCCGCTGCGAGCCAAAGTGATAGAGGGATCTTCTTCAGTGGAAGCTCTGAACAAGGCGGTCGCGTTGCTGAAGGATGGAGTAGTGTCGGGTGAGAAGCTCGTCGTGGACGTTATGGACTTACAGAACTAGGTTCGTGTGTCTGGGTCAACGGGAGTACTCGTCTTCGTGGATAATGTATGGTATGATGGCGTCGCAATGAATTAAGTCTTCTACACCGGCGCGGATGCGACACTCGTCTCGTACGGCGCGATATCGAAATAGCCGCTGAGCGCGCCGACGTCGTATTTTATCTTCAAAAACCTCAAAACTTGTAGGTTCTGGCAGGTGCGTATCGGTCCAGGACTAGAGATCAGATGATGCTGTACGCTAATGCGGGTCTCTGCAGAGTCGTTGGTATAACGAGCACTCGAGGGAGGAGCGTGAGGAGATGACGGCAGCTATCATCGACATCCTTCGCGCTGGAAAGGTAGGGCGCCCTGACTCTCTTCTGATGTCATGTTGTCTACTTACTATAGCGTTGCCTCAGCTGAGGGAGCCTGAACACGAGGTCGTCACGATTCCTGGTAGTGCGAGTGACGAGGAGGCCACGCAGCTTGTGCGAGATACGATGAAGAAAGTGGAGGGTGGTGCGGGGAGGAAGGTATTGCTCCGGATCCAGAATGTTCAGTAAGGACGGAATAGGGGGTGGCGAGGGGGAGTGTGGGCCTCCGCACGTTGCGCAGAGCAGGTGGAAGTCAGGCTCTGTGAGGGCTGCGCCTCCACAGTCCGTTGGGTCTGACAGTCCTGTCACTGATCCGAAGTTGGCGATGACCCCTCAGAATATCAAGCCACTACTCGAGAACGCTCGGGAGGTGGAAACGCGGCTGAATGACTGTATCGAGGAGTTTCGTTCCATGTTGATATCGAAGCCCCCAGGTGACGCTAGTCCATAGCGCATGTGTCCGGACAGTTCTACGCTGGTTGTCGCTCGCTATCTCAATGCTCTCGAAATTCTGCCATGTTATGCACTGCTATTCTATTGACATGGTCTACGTTCATGCTAGTTATGTGTGCATTGCATGGATATATCTTCTATGGTTGCAATTGACTCCATGATTCGTCCTTATCCGATGTGCTTTCTTGGACTCCCTATATTTCCTCGGTTCAGTGACTGCGCGAGTTGAAGCTCATGCCTTGGAAGACGGGACTATTCTGGCTCAAGAAATATAATAAAGCTCTGCACCAACGCCGAAGAGATGACAAAACAAAGCATATGATGGGTGAGGTTGGAGGCCACATACGAGAGGGGGCGGGGCACCTCACACCTCATGACAGGCGTTCCTTGTCAAAGTCAGCTTTGGAGATCAATTTGAATAAGTGATAACAATAGTATCGATATATCCTTAGACAGAGACAGAAACATTACATGTGCATTGTGAATAAGCAAAAGCTGTTACTAGTATCTAATGGAGGCTACCATGTGGCGGCAGATCACCAATCGGCCTGGCGATCATTGTACGGGCATAACCAGTCGATCACCCAAGGACGACGGTCCATGTCCATCGCAGCAAACGTCATGCCAGCCAAGGCCCGGATGACATCACTGTCCGTCAAGTGCTTCTTATCGGACAACGTGAGATGGTTGTGAGCCGTCTTGACAAAGATGAAGATGTAGTCGCCGTTGGTCCAGAAACCCCAACTCGCCGAGAAAAATACCAGCTGGCCCCATACCTGATTGTTCCGAGCAGGATATCAAGTGCCACAGTCAGAAGCCTTCTCAAGCATACGATATATACTCACTTGTTTAATAAGTTTATCGGAACTAGAATTCCTTCTGAAGTCGATCCAGCCCGTTATGCGATCCACTCGACGCGCACTGTATAGTTCGTCCACAAAGCTGTTGGGATAGGACCATATGTTCTTTATTTCGGCGACCGCGGGAGTATCATACCGTCTCGCTGTTCGATAAAAAAGGAAGTCGGGATATCCTGCTTTTTTTGAATCTGCATCCGCATCAGGTCCTCCATCACGATGGGCAGCAGCACAAGCTCGGCCCCATTGCGGGTAGAAGGAGCGCCGCGCATGGTCGAAAGGTTGGTGGACCGGGGGGGCCCGGTCTACCTTGTTCTGGTACCGAGTCTTCCAGTAACACAAATGAGTTGACTGGACCATAATGAGATGGTGACATTTACCTGCATAACGCGGTCTAAAATTTCCAAAATCTGAACCACAACCTCGTCCTGCATGCCTGGCTCACTTTCAATAACAGGGGGACGCCTGTTTGCAAGGGAAATGAAGCAACCCCATAGTTCAACTACGGCATGATATTGTTGTTCGCTGAACGGCAGAGGATAGGTGAATTGTGGCTGGTTGGGAATAAACGTCGTGGTTGTCAAGCGAGGCACTCCCAAAGTATTAGCATGGTTGTGTGCCTGAGCTGCTAACTGCGATGCTTCTGTGCCCTGGTGAAATCCATTGTTTTGAACTACATATGCCGGAAGGTTCGGATGATTGAGAGGGTATGGAATCGGAGGCGGTGGAGGCAGGACGCCACGTTCCCCGGGACAGTACTGCTTCAAGTTCTCCCACAAGCTATGGGATCGGAACACTGCCTTACAATGCTGACCTGCGGGCAGCAAGTTCTCCACCGCAGCCGCTGTTTTCGTTGTTGATGGCTTAGTCGACAATCTACCCTGACGAATAGGCTGTAAAGCCATAGTGTGTGGTAGAATGACCCCGGGCGGCGTTGGGAAGGGAAAGCCACTGCCGGGTATCCCAGGGGCAAGCCAGTTCCCGGCGGGAAGTGGATTGCTGGAGGTGGCATGGAAGCGATCCGGAGTGAAGAGACAGTCGAAGCCAGGAGCTGGTTGCGCACCTTGAGCCATGAATGCGAAGCCTTAGAGATTGACGCAGCAGCCCGAAAGAGCCAAACTGGCTTTATAGGTAGCTCCAACCTGAGAAGCATCACCTATCTGATGACTTAGTGTCCACGATGGTGCGGCGAGGCCAGGTCGGCGTCCGGAAACAAGGCATTATTACTTCGGAAGTGGTTTAGGGTGAAGCGTCATTCCGATCAGGCCGGTATGATATTCGTAGAACGTATTGTACTAGCCGGAAGAAGACGTCGAATGCCCAGCATCCATGTGGCGTGATTTCACTGCCATTCCGAGTTGCCCTTCTTGGTCGATACAAGGCATCGAAAGCTTGCGTTGTTATACCTGGGGTAGTTGCTTCGCAAGCTGAACACGCCACTGGAGAAGGTACTAAATTCAAATTGCAATTCATCAAAGCCGCGGAAGACGAGATCATGATGGAGACCAGTCTGTTTCGATCCGCTCCATTGGCACTTGTTCATGCGGCGTCTCCATCACGATAGCACATGTGTGAAAGAGGACAGACTTGTGTTGTACGACACGGAGGGTCGGGCATGAAACCTACGAGATTCTGGCTAAACCCTAGTTAACTGACTTGATTTACGAGGCGCCGGGTGTACAAGGTCTCAGATTACAGCCCTGCTTCAGCCTTGTTTGGCATAAAAGGCTCTGTGACCTTAGAAACCAGGATTATGAAGTTGTGTGTCAGCTGGCGGGAACGAAGTAGAACGATCACTGTGCGCGCCAGGCCGGCCTAAATTAGACCGGTAATGGGTCAATTTTGTACTTTCGGCCAAAAAGTGGTCGAATAAGGTCGAAATAGCTTGCCGTATGGAAACCAGTTGGAATTCCAAACATGGGCATTCCATACGATAAACGGTCGAATTCTGTCTGTTGAATCCGCAGCAGCAGTCGTGAGAACCCACAGGTCGGAGTTCGAAGATTGCCATGCGCTCGCTGTTGCGCCGTCGTCGCCGCCGACGCCGCCGACGCCGCAGTGAGCAGCTCCGCTGGTATACATGGCCCTTCTTCCCCGGTGAGCGTGTACTGTCGCAGGCTAGATGATGGCCGCAGTTCGGTCACTAAGGTGCGTCCATTCTCTCGATCCTGCGTCTCGACGAAGTCTAATACGTGTCTGTGTCGTAGGCCTGATAGTTGGTTGGTCGTTGTAAAGTGAGTATGGTACCCGTTGTACAATATGTTTACTGAATCTAAGATATCTCGATAGGATCGGTGTATCAACCACCTTGCCGCCATCTCCAGTGTCGAGCTATGCGAGTACGTGAGTGCTTCCTTGAGGCCGTGGTACGACTTCTACTGATCTAACATCTGGCAGGTAGTCTTTGTGTTGTTGCTGTTGGTAGGGATTTGAATAGGGTGCCCCGAGGAGGGGGGGCTGGGGGATGCATGGTTCAGGGTCAGGGCGGGTATGACACAGTTTGCTGTACACCTACATAGAGAATATACAAATATGTTGGTGCCTCAACTGCATTGCACACTGACTGCTAGGGGTGCCAAAGCCAAGGAATGGTGGTTTGCATAACCAGATGGAAATAGACCACTAAACGGTTGGAAAATGTCATTTTCGGCCGTTCTGAGGGGGGGTCGAAATTCACAATTTGGTGGGACAAAATGATACGGTGTCTTTCGTACGGTAAGCGGACAATTTCAGCCTTCTACCGACCGAAATTGATTTGTCTAGCGAACGAATATACCGGTCGATTTTAGACCGGTCTCACGCCTCCAGAGGATCTACAGTGGCTTGCATAAGATCGCATTTCCGCGCGCGCGTTGTTTGTCCGCGCTAAATGTGCCCCTTTTGGGTAACTTCGGTAGGCCTGCCGTCTCTCCTTTGGCTAGGCAGGGATTCGCAGACGTTCGAAAGGGCTCGAAAGGCTTAGGAAGATGCATGATATGTCTTGTATATAGCTATAGTTGAGGTCACAAAGCCATATAGCTCGCCGTATGCCCAACCACTTGCCCTTTCGATTTGCCGTGCATTTGCCCATACCCGAAAAGGGTGTGTCTGGCGCGGACAAACAACGCGCGCGGAAATGCGATGCAAGGCACTGTAAGCCGGAATAGCCGCCTTAAGCTTGTCTTGGTTGTACATGTAGCCGAGAACCCCGACCTGTCCGCCTATATTGAGCCGTCACAAGTTGGAGTATCCTCTCTTCTCGGTTCAAATGAGTGTTCAAGCTAATTCGTCGTTGGTACGTTCATTATACTGATTTATCAGTTCGAACGATTTCATCTTGACGATTGTAGGCCGGAAATAGTCTCGCGGCCGTCATAATTCGTGGCCTGGTTAAGAGCGAGAATGGCTCCGATATGGACCTTCATCTCATTCGTACCCCTCCGGAAGCCCAAAACTGCGTCCAATTTGTTCAGTCTCGGCGGGAGGGGGTTGCTCTGTCCGAGATGCCAGCCCGACCCTCGTCTACACTCCCAGAACCAGGAAACGCAGTCCTCATTGTGAGGCTTAAAGAGGGCCTGGGTAAAGGCCGCGCTGGGGCCGTTCACGATGTCGAAATATGTGCTTGCTCGACGCCATTTGATATTCCCCCGCTGGTTGTCAAAGTTGCTAATCGAGACTTCTGCGATGATCTGTCCAAGGAGGCTTGGTTGTACGAAGAGATGGAGAGTCTACAAGGGGTTGCAGTACCTCGCTACTATGGATACTTCCTGGCCGAACTCCCTCCGCACGCCAAGGTCGCCTCCTGGAATCGCATAGCTACGACCAAGTTCCCAATATCAATTCTGTTGCTGGAGCGCTTGGGGGGGAAATTGCCTCTGGGGAGGCCTATCCCGCAGAACCTCCAGGATGACTTGTGGGACGTCATGAAGGACATATCGGAGTTACACATTTTCAACGACGACATTCGCTACGATAATGTCTTACTGGCCCCGAAATCCCCTCCCGCTCTTCCATCCCTAGTATCACCCTATCGTCACCGGTCATATGGATTACGCCTTGTCGATTTCGATACAGCTTACAAGATTAATTTCTATCCGCACATACTCGTTGAAGATCACGAGGAACTCATCAGGCTCATTCTTGACAACGTGCCGCAAGGTGGCACTGTCAATCCCTCCGATCGAGATTGAGTACTTGATATTCTGGCTAGGGTCTGCAATGTAAGAGGATCGTGAGACCCGGGACATGAAGAAATAGAACGATGTTGATACGCATGTACGCGTACAGTAGTAGTACTAGCTTTATACGACAGAAGTCTATCCGCCGACGCACGACCTAATCACTGTCGTCTATGTACGCCTTGCTTTTATACCTGGACTTCGAGGTAGTGGTGGGAGTCTCACGAGCACTGATGAGTGCCCAGAGATCCTCTTCGTTTCGAGTATCGAGGGCACAATCTTCTTGGTCCAACTCATCCTCCTCCAGCAGCTCCGCCAGCAATGCCTCTTCCTCGGTTTCGGCAGGCATCAAGGAGTCCATATCTGCGTAATCGGAGATAGTTCTCGACGCATGGGGCTGTCGAGTGGTCCGGGATGGGCCTGGAAGGATATCTGACGGCGCGGCCGAGAGTCGGACCACAGGAGCGTAGATGTCCCTGTGCAGAGGGATGGAAGACAGTGCAGATTGGCCTAGAGCCGGGTCTCGGAACTGAGAGTCTTCTCCGTCCGTACTCCGCCCATCACACTCGGCCGCGCTGTTGTGACTCGCCGTGCGATTGAAAGCCTTATCCTGAGCGTTGCGAGCGGCTACTTTCTTCTTGAAGTTCTCCGTAGCACGAGCCTTCGCGTCACTGACACAGCCATACCTGTCCGACAGCCTCTCAAAGACAGAGTGCTTGTCAGTATCTCTGACGCCCATCATTTCAAGAGCGTGGGCAACATTACGAGGCACGACCTAGAGAGGATACATCAGTCCATGAGTGCACCAATGGCTCCATCGGAAAGCGCACCTGATCGTCCGAAACCCGCCATACTTTCGTATGAAGCTTCATTTGTAGCTCCTGTTCTCGCGAGACAATAGCTCGCTGAACGGCTTCCTCGACGAAATGTACCAAGTGGGAATGGAAAAATTGGATAGTGGAGCCAGCGATAGCTACCGTGGAATTCTCATCGTCCGGCTGCAACGACCCGTAAAGTCTATATGTCAGATACAATGCCGTGTCAGGTGGTCCAGCAGAACCCTAAAACAACTGTGCTCACCTCATCAACCTCCCGAACCCCGCAGGATGGAAAAGGCTCATGTGATTATCACGCAGGAACGCAGTGTCGACCCCGAGCTCTTCCAACTCCGCCTTGAATCTATACGGGAGCGTCTTACCAGAGATCTTGCGCTTCCGTAGCTGTGCCTCCTTGTCAGCTCCTTCTGATTCAGCTCCTGGAGTATCCTGGATGACAGCTACAACGCTCTCCGGGGTGACATCCACATCTAAGTCCATCGCTCTTTCACCACGGCCTACTTGTTCTGCAGCGGCCTCCGTGGTAGCCTTGCGAACGCGCGGCACGACACTATGCGTCTTACGCCCAGGCTTCAATTTACCGACGTGCTCGATAATATTTGCCCCGGAGATCATCGCCCGCTTTCGCCGCATGTACAGCCGTTTTTGATGCTGGCGTCGAGACCGCGGAGATAGTGTTGTGATATCTTTCATTTCAGCGTCGAGTCCTTCGGTATCTACTTTGGGCGAGATTCCCGGTCCAAACTCATTCGGAGACCCTTCGGAATCTTGATGAGGAAAAGGCATCCCGGAGGGAACTTGAGGGAACAGAATCTGGCTGCTCGAAGCAACTTGGGATTGAGAAGCTGCAGGCTCAGCCATAGCAGCAACTTGATGAAGCTCTGCGGCCCGAGGGGCGGACGGCTTGAGTCCAGACTCTGCCAGAAGCACGGGATCAATCACCTCGTCACTGATCCCTGCGTCCGCAGGTGGTGTACGGGACGTAACAGGGGCAGTTTGGCTTTGCTCGGGATCGCATTCTTGCTCTGCATGCTCGTCCGCGCTCTGCTGGACTTCGAATTCTGTAGCGTTATCTTCATCTTCACGCAGCATGGCCTCAAGCACTCTCAGTCGCGGGTAATCCAGGAACTCGAGCGCATCACGCTTCTTCCACTCTTTCTCTCGCGCCTCTTTCCAGTCGTTGAATAGTTGTCGCCGTTCAATCTCACCTTCCCGATCGCGCTGGGCGGAACGCGCCTTGCCCTGACCTTTCCTAACCCTCAGTTCTCTCCGCTTCTCCTCGCGCGCGCATTCCCTTCCTGCAGTCAGACTAGACTGGTACCATCCAGGCTCAAGGTAGGCTAGCAGCGCAGCTTGCTCGGCCTCAAAGGTGATCCATTTCTCCGAAACTTCAGTCGCTGCTTCGAGATCCGCGCGCGGGATCCTAGCTTCCGTAGTCGCAGAGGCGCATTCCAGTAAATCCAAGTATATACAGACGTCAGAGATGGTCTTGGTGCCTATTTCCGCAGATATAAGGTCCGGCCTGAGCCTTGAATGAACAGAAAGCGCGCGGAAGAACTTGTCCTTCTCGGAAGACGTCCAGTAGCTCGATGGGGGATAGTAGGACGAAGGTAAAGACTCTTCGACCTTGCCAGATAGATGGGATTGCGCGTCGTTCAAGTGCTGGCGATACAATGTAAGGTAGGCGCCGCTGAGGTTCTCTTCCGCCTGATCCTCATCCCCGTCATGGGTCATTTCTACGGATTATGATAGACCTACAAATTGACGATTATTGGTAGTCCATATGAATTCCATGGAGCGCACCTTATGTTTCGTCGTCGTGTCATATATTCGGAAAGGTTTCTCTCCCCCAACTTGCAAGGAAGAATGTACTCCTGGCTTGTGGCTTATGCAATTCCAGAAAACATACGTGGGAAGGTCTGCTGATCTTGGAGAGATTCCTAGTCACGTGTGAGTCGCACGAGGAAGCCACGCCTGTTTGCCAGTGCCACAAGTTCAACGACGCGACTTCAAGTTGTACATTGCGGTCGAACGCCTTGCGCAGACAGTAATTGCAGGTAGGACTTGTATTCTCTTGAACCATCAAACCCATTTTTATTGTTTCCAGCCAATACTCTCCGGAGCGGCTTGGTTCGTTGCTCTCGTAAGTGTTGATAACTTCGGCCACATATTGAAGCGCCTTCACGCGCAAGATAGGCTGATTACTGATATGTGCAGAAACTCACTGAATCCACATATAACGATACACTGACAACGCGGGCGGTCTGCCGATTGTCGTGGCGGACAACGTCGACTAAGTGATCTGTGTACTAGTGGGTAAAATCGCCTTTTCTTATCGAATCCAATGCTCAGAGTTCACTTTCAGTGAAAGTTATCACTACGCGTACGCGTAACAGGCAGCTGAATGTTGTTCCTCCAGTCCACTGTATTCCCGTGGAATTGCTTTCCTGGATTTTCCTGCAATGCTCTAGACCAATCTCTCGTTATGAGCCAGACACTGAACTGGGGCCATCCTTTAAGCCATTGAATCTATCCCGTGTATGCAGGCGATGGCGAGATTGCGCCATCGATACTTGCGAGCTGTGGTCGACCTTCTGGTTCGCTGATGTGCACTCCTACCCAATGGATACCTCCTTCGCCGGGCCGCGGCTGCTGCGCAAGCTGAAGTCATTGGCTCCCCTCCTGGAGATGTGCATGACTCGATCGAGAGATCGCGCGCTAGATGTTTCCTTCGTAGTCGACAGCCAACCTCCGCCCGACTTGGATGATGAATGTCTCCGACCGTGGAGAGCGTGCATGCTTCGATGCCGGGTTCTGAGCCTCGACGTCACGGATAGAATGCTTGAGAAGCTTCTTGATTGTGATGCGGAGCTCCCATTTCTCGAGCGGCTGTCGTACGGATCCAAGTCACGAGAAGGAGAGGCGGTCATGCCGTTTCCCGGGCTGCGCATGCCCCAGCTCAAGAGCGTCACGTTTGGAAACGTTGTTTCAACTCACACGTCGTTCCTCGAAACTGTATCGCGGCAATTGACAGACATAGCCATTCACTACCACACTCTCAGCCCTGACTGCCTTGCTCAGCTGCAAGACTCCCCTAACCTGAAGGCTCTGACGCTCACTTCCCTGCTCATGGCTGACGGGGACTACGAGGATGTATACTTCCCTACTCTTGAGAAACTTTCATGCTCATTCCACGCCGGGGATTATCGGGATGTTCTGGCCTGCATGGAGGTGCCCAACTTGCGCACTCTCCGCCTTGAAGCCTGGGGCGAGCACCCGCTTGTACCCCTTGTAACTCTAGTAGTGCAGGCCTACAACCTTCAATTGGAGCGTCTGTATCTAGAAGGTTGCGAATTGCTGGACGATATCCCCCAGTTCCGCGAACTTCTCAAGAGCCTGCCTTCCCTCGTGCACTTGGCCGTGCATACTGATTACCACTCCAAGTTATCCATGGACTTTGCCTTCAACTGCCTCGTTTATCGCAAAGCCGAAAATGGCACGGCTCTTGTCCCGCAGCTGCGCACACTAGCTATCGACCTGAGTAGTAAGAAGTGGAACGTGCTTCCCATGGATTCCACCATCTCTGCTATCTCTGAATCAAGACGTTCTGGGCCACGCATCTGCATGCTCGACTCCCTGTTTATCGTTATACGTTGCTACGTCCCCAGTTACTACAAGTATGTCAATGCCAGAACTTACGAGCTCTCGGGCACGAGGAAAGTTGTCGTCGGTGGCAGTGACCGTTCCTCGCATTACTTCTCCACGTTCCAATGAGACTTCACCTCAAGGCTGATGGGGTTCCTCGGCTCTGCCTGCTAAACGCATTCATTGATTTTCTTCCTTATGCAGTTGTTAATGTTCTTCGCCTGACGGCATGATTGATTGCAACCATTTTCAAGGCTATGTGTATCCATCTCAATGTATATAGCATGGAGTTCTTCCAATCAACATGAGACTCACATAATAGAACACGGCGACAGATTTCAAGTGGCCCCTGCTACTTACCAGAACATGAGCCATGGACACCACAACGGACGCATATCACAGGGGTTAGAAGTATCCGATCGTAGCAGTTTCGCGGATGCACGTTGAGAGATCGCTGGACGACCATGGGCCAGGTGAAGTGAGAGAATGATATGGTATTGATTAAATAACGATACACAGCGAGACCGATGAGTAGATGACAACAGCCGGAAACACGAGAATGCAGAGATACGGATATTCAAGGAGACCACGCCGAGATCAATCATCGCCAATCTTGGGTGCGAGGTAGTAGCGTATGTACCCCTGGCCGAATTCATAGGACACCTGGACGACATGTCAGTAAAAGTAAGTTCGAGACTTGAGAAGGCAATACTAGTAAAGGAACGTCGTTGCTCATCATTAGCTGCACCTTGTCGGCCAGCGTCGCGCTTTTTGAGAAGTTCACGAGGTATTTAAGACTGAAGGTGAGCGTCACATGTTGATTCATCTCGATGCGGACGGCATTGGGTGGATCGTCGTCCAGGGAGCGCTTTGCCTTCTTCGATGGCTTCCCGTTCTGTTACGCAAGTCAGTCAGGAAGGCATGATCCCACGATGGACGGACCTTTGAGGTGGAAGCCTTCTTCTTCCGCTTCTTGTTCTCCTGCTCCTCTTCGTCCTCCTCATCCTCGTTATCGCTGCGCCCCTTGAACTCCTCGTCCTCCTCTGCGTCCCCATTCATCTCCACGTCCTCCTCATCCCCGGCATCCCCATCCTCCTTCTTCACTTTCTCCTTCTTCACCTTCTTCTTACTTCCTCCCTCCTCATCGTCCTCCTCGTCCTCGGGGCCGGGCTCCTCGCCATCGCTCTCCTCCTTCGCGGGCGCCTTGATCTTCCCGCTCGCCGTCGCGCCGATGCCCTCGCTCTGCTTGAGGAGCACGCTCCCGTTCGCCGCCTCGCCGTCGCTCGCGAAGCGCACGCCCTCCTTCGACACCTCGATGCGCACGCTCTCGCCGAGCTGCGAGAGGTCGCGCACGATGCGCGAGAACTCGCTCGCGGGCATCGTCACGCGCGCGTCGTACTCCGTGTCCGGGATCCCGAGCTGGTCCGAGTCGATGTCCATCAGCTTCATGTCGTACTCCGCGATGCGGTCCGAATCTGCGTTTCATCCACGACATCAGCATTCGCGCCGCGGGCGCTAAGGAAAGCAACGCACTCCGCGCCTCGTACGTCAGGTTGAGGATGTCCCCGTCGTCCGCAGCCTTCAGCGTGCAGATGTCGTCGTCCTTCGCGCACTTGAGGACTTTCGTCAGCGAGTTGATGTTGACACCGAGCGGCATCGGGCGGTCGCAGCGGTAGCGCTTGAACCCCGTCGACTCGAGCTTGACCGCGACGAGGGCGACGTGCGAGTTGTCCATCGCTTGCAGATTCTAGCCGACACGTCAAAGTTCACTTTCAGTAGAAACACACTTAGAGAACGTACGATGCCCTCCTCGTTGCACTCGAAGTTGGCGTCCGTGACGAGTTCTTTCACGGCTGTTCACATTCGACGATCAGGACACGCCCGCGTTCCCAACCAACAAGTACGTACCATCCAGGAGACGTTTTAAGATCGCGGCTTCGTTCAGTTTCGCTTCGAGCATGGCGGACGTGCGTGCGAGAGGTAGGAGGACAAGAGAACGTCCAGGCGACTGGGAGGTTCGCCCGCCGAACGCGTTCGCGAACGTGTTCGGCGAATGTCTGGGCACGTGAGGGGATGCCACGCCACCGGAGCGTAGGAAATCGCCACACCGCAACTTGTTATTGAGCGAGAAAGGCAATGGTGGCTATGCTTTCAATCCATAAAATACAGTTTGTTATGCACATATTATTGTACCATAACCAGGGAAATTGATGATGTGGATAGAGGAATTCCCATGAATTTCAAGTTGTCCATGCCCAATGACTAATTATATGTATACAGGGCTGTTGGATTTCGGGAGTCGGGATCGAGCTTGCGAGCTCGCGCCGTGTTGCGCGTGGTCAGGGGGGACCGCCACAGGTGGGCCCGACTGATAAGGTGATAAGAAAATTCATATATATTCGTTGTATCTACTCGATGTCCTGTACGCGATTGCCCTTCGGGCAACCGACCGCCTGGGGCAAATGCGCTCATCTTCCGTTTGCTTGGAATATTTCAACAAGGGCATCTGTGGAGGCATCACATTTCCAATGCAATGCCAGTAGTATTGACTATGGAAACCGTTAGGGGGAGGGCACGGAAGGGGCTTCAGTGCATTCGTGTGACCCCAATTGGACAGACAGCTTCGATTACTCACCACATTTTTTTACAATTACCCAGCAATTTCAATCTCACAGACTGATTACAATAAACTTACAAGCTAAAACCATCAGGCTATGCAGATTTTATCATAAGCAGGAGGGGTACGCGTCTGTGGCCGGTGGACAGAGCCACAGAATAGACACGCGCCCACGTGCACCGTGGTGTGGTTCTCACGTTCGCATTTGCAGTTCGCGAGCGCGTTCGGCGGTGTGACTTCCCAGTGGGGTCGACTTTCTGGAGGACAAGGAGTGCTGGAGCGCGACGCGTCACGGCTCGTTACAAAAAGTGTCGCGTAATGTCACGCGTTTGGTGTCACGCTCAAGCTAAAGCGTCCGGATCGGTGGCACAAGGTGCACCTCTGGCAATATCGCTAACTGGAGGGGGAGACAATAGAGCAAGTGGTAGCCTCGCACTGTATAATTGCTACGTCTCATACGACGATGGTATAGTACACGGGCCTATGATTAAGCGCAGTGGCCCTTGTGGCACTGGCCCCAGTGTGGCGGCAGGCCAAGCAGAGACACGCCACCGACATATAAAACCCCCCGCTATCTAGCACTCAACGTGCCACATATACACCGCGACATCTCCCAGCATCCCAACTGCCTCACCTCTCACTCTGATCATCCGCCATGGCCTCCAGCACCAGCTCGCAGCCCCGACGCACTGCAAGAGCCGAACACCTGTCCGGCCGTACCACCACGTCGGGAAAGCAGCCGGTGGACACAGGCAACAATGCCCCACCGAAGTCCCGGGTCGAGCGGCAGGTGCCACCCACTTTCAACACGACCATATTCCACGAGTCCCGAGACTCAACCGCAAGCTTAAACCCATTTCACAACCCGGACAAGGATAAGTTTACACTCCCCAAGGAAGAAAGGGCGCGCCCAGCGTTCGATTGGTCGAGCGCGCCATCGACGAGCAGCAGCGAACAGAGCGCGCTGCACCAGCTGATGCGCGACCCCGCGAGCCTCGCCAAGATCGCGAGAGCATACCGCGTGCTGAAAGCCCGCAAACAGCAGGAGGACGAGGAAGCCGCCGCGTGCGCGCTGTCCGAGGTGAGCATGAGCCTGACATCTGTCCAGTTCCAGCCCGCCTCACCTTGTTGTATGTGCAGGACGACCGCCGGAGCCTGGAGGAGACGTTCAGCTGCAGGCTGTCTGAGCTCTCGATCGCGGACGCGGGATATGTGGGCCCGAGGGTGTCGGTGGCGGAGTCGGTGGCGTCGGATGATACGGTCACCCAGGACGATTATGTTGCGGGGCATGATTTGAGCGATTTCTATTTTGATGCGAAGTTAGGCGGGGCGTAGCGGAGACCATGGCGCTTTGTATGTCTGTACCGGAATCGCATACTTATATTTCCTTGAACTTGGTCGATGGATTGTCTGGTGAACAGTGGGTGACATGAGTGTTACACGCCGGCATTGGGATGCCCCAAATCGCGGGACAGATATCCACAAGTTCAACGTCCGTTTGCGACCAGTGAGGATCATGCGAAGGTTCGCGCCTGATATGTGGTCTTCTTGGGCCGCCGAAGACCCGAAACGCGGGTGAGACGACGCCCGCTACAGTACAGCACGTCTAGCCCAAGGAGAGACGTGACGTCTGTTTAGCACTTCATCCTAGTAACAGACAGTGTTGGTCAGTGTGATGAAGGATATGGTCACCCACTTGTACCTTGTACACCGCGCTGCTGTTACAATCGGTGAACCCTCTATCCCCCGTCGTCTAAGACGGCATTCCCTTGCGATGCTGGCTGCATATTCACTGTTTCCGCACCTCTCAATTCATTACGAACGGTGAGGGTCGAAGTCGAAGACAACAAAGAAAACAGCGTTTATTCGAGTCGGCATCAAAAGCAGCAGTAAATGACGCGCACGTGGTTCGGGTGTGCCTTGTTCTGCGCCGTAACGAGCGCGGAGGGAACTCTCGTTTGAACTGCTCACGACGGCGACGACGCAACGACGGACGACGAACTGAACGTTCTGCACAGCGATACTACCCTTGGACAGGAAATAACCAACAAACCTCATTTCTCTACATGACCACGACGCCTGCATGACCAGCACGACCGCAAGACACATCCTGCGAGCGGGTACGTGTGCACCACGTTAGACGCGACATTTACTGATTTAATTTATCTTCGCAGTTCCCTCTGAGAACTGGGACGAAGACTTTGAGTTCCAGCCCATCGCAGAGCCCGACGAACCCGGCGACACCCAAGCACATCCGTCCTCATCCACCCCCGCGCGACCCCCGCCCGCCCTCGCCCCGCCAAGTCTGCAGGACTGGGCCGAGCCGGGGCCCTCCACGCCCGTCCGCCGCCGCGCGCAGCCGCCGCAGACGGAGAACTGGGACGACGACTTTGAAGACGGCGACTCGCCGGCGCGGCGCTCCGGCTCGCACTCGCACCGCAAGCGCACGCACACGCACAACCACAACTCGGTCGGGTCGGCGAGGCGGCGCGCGGGCGCGGCGGCGGTCGAGAACTGGGACGACGACTTTGAGCTGGGCAAGGCGGATTCGCCCGCGGGCACGCGCCGCCACGAGCAGGGGTACGCCTCGTCCGACTCCGACTCCGACCGCGGCGAGCTGGGCTTCGGCGAGAAAGAGGAAGACAAGACGATCACCGCGCGCTCGCGGCGCGGGCTCGCAGCCCACGCGACGCCGCCGCCGCCCGTCCCGCCGATCCCGCCACTGTTCGCGCTCCCCTCCGACCCCGCGCCCTTCCCGCGCTCGCCCACCGCCTCCGTCTTCTCCGTGCCGACCTCGCGCGAGCGCGACTCGGCGTCCATCGCGTACGGCAGCACCGCGCAGCTCAACCTGCGCCCGACGCTCTCCGGCTCCTCGGCGCCGCACGTCGCGCGCGGGTTCGCGGGGCTCCCCCCGAGTCCACCGATCCACAGGGAGCGCCGGCGGCTGCGCAAAAAGTCGCGCCCGCGCCCGATCGACGGGAACGTCATCGAGCTCGTCGACCTCGACCCGGACGAGGACCCGCCGCCGCTGCCGCTGCACGTGCCCCCCGCACCCGAGGACCCGCCCGCCCCGCCAGCGACCTCCGAGCCCTCCTCGCCGCAGCAGACCAAGGCGGGCCTGCCGCTGCTCTCGCGCATCGGCAGCGTGAGCAAGCGCTGGGGCCGGCGGAAGCGCGCGAGCGCGGGGCCGGAGGAGGTGCTCATGGCCGAGCGCGAGCAGCGCAGCGCCCACGTGCCGTCGGACAACGACGCGACGCCCGTCGCACCCACCCACCGCGCGTCGCGCTGGTTTTTTCGGGGTGGTGGGGAGGGCGACGGCGGCGGCGGCGGGGAGGAGAGCGACGTGAGCGGCGAGGAGAGCCCGACGAAGAGGAAGGGGCAGCGGAGGAAGAGTGAGAACGGGTTGGGGATGGGGATGGGGGCGCGGAGCCCGCCTGGCTCCCCGCTGAAGCAGCGCGCCCCGCTCTTCCCGCGGCACGTCTCGTACTCGGGCGGCGCCGTAGAGAAGACGAGCTCGCGTGGCTCCGGGTCTGCTAGTGTGAGCATGGAGGATCTGGCGCTGCAGTCGCAGTCTAGCCGGGATGGCGTGGCGAAGGTAGGCAAGGGCAAAGAGAGGGAGGGTGCACCGTTCATGAGCAGGATGCGCAGGATAAGCCTGGGCAGCGCCCCGGGCCTGAAGGTGAAGCACCGCAAGACGAAGTCGAGCGTCGGCCCGGAGGACGCGAATGGGAACCCGCCGGCGCCGCCGACGCTCCCGCCGCTGCCCTCGCCCTCCCCGTTCGCGTCCACAACCGACCTGAGCTTCGACGCGACCACACACCCGCCAGTAGATACACATCCAAAGCCTGCGAGTACGCTCCTCCCACCGATCGAGCTCCGCCCCCCATCGCCGACGCGCTCCCCGCCCACGCAGATCCGCGCCTCGCAGTCTGAGCCGGTGCACTCCTCTTCCGCGCCGCCTTCCACGCCTCTCGACAGCCTCCTACGCCCGTCAACTGCCAGCTCGACATTAGCGACGCCAAATAAACTGTCTACGTCCCCGCAGTCGGCGTCGTTGGGCCGGACGGCGCAGCCGCCCATGGTCGCGAGCTCCAGCCCTGGGAGCGCGAACAGCGGGACGATCGTCCCGCGCCGGAACTCGCTGGGCGACCTGAAGATACCCGCGCGCATCAGCCAGGCGCAGGTCGGACTGCGGCGGGATCTGGAGCTCGTCAGGGATTTCGCGGCCAGCGTTGACAGTAAGCTCTCCGTCCACCTATCCATCTACGTGGGGGCCCTGCTGATGATGACGTGTGTGAACAGAGCTGAAGCAGCTGCAGACGACGTATGTGGAGCTGGTACGTGAGGTGCAGCAGGTACTGAGCGCGAGTCGGCCGTCCTCTCCGCCTGCGCCCGTGCCTGCCTCCTCGCCGTCGACCACGACGCTCTTCGGGATAGCGAGGCCGAAAGGACGCGCAAGGTCGAATACGAATCCGCCCCCACCACCCCCGGAGCCGCCAAGCCAGCTTGCGTCTGACTATCATGCTATCGAGGCGAAGTACAAGATCGTCTGGGAGTGCGCCGAGCTGCTGATCGAGCTGGGTGGGGGCGCACCCGCAGGAACGGGGCCCACTACAAGCGTGTCCGCTCCTGCGATGCAGGCCACGCAGAGTGCACCGCCGTTAGAGGGGAGGAGGAGCCGCGAGCGCGCCATCACTCTAGCTGGCGACGAGCCGAAACCTGACCTTGCAAGTTTGCCTACGGGCCCTCCCGTGGCGAGCCCGCCGAATCCCGCCTGGCGCGCCTCCACCGGCCGACACGATCTCAGCTCCAGGCAGCTGGTGCTGCTCCGGGAGATGCTGCACAACAACCCCGAGTCGTCGCCCTCCTCGTCGTTCCTCGGCGCGCAGGCGTCCGATATCCCGGAGGAGACCGTCATCAACCGCGGCTGGAAGTGGGGCGACGCGATGGGCAGCACGATCACGCTGCCGTCTGAGGAGTCGGGCGCCGCGCACGCGTCGCCGATGAAGAAGCGCAGGACGAGCAAGATGGGGATGAGCGGGCTGAGGGATATGTTAAGGCTGCTGAAGAAGAGCACGATGGAGCAGCAGGGCCAGACAGCGTCGGCGAGCGCGACGGAGTCGTCGCTAGATGTCAGGCCTGAAGCTAGGTCCGTACGCAGCCAGGCGCCGACCCAGCGCAGGCGCGCCAAGACAAGTACTGGGCCCGAGTCGATGAAGTCCATGCGGGAGCATCCGAATTCGCCCTATGGGACTATGGATTCGTTGAATCACAAGGCCTCACCGCGTCGCCCGTCGCTCGCTTCGATATTTCGGCTAGGACAGAAGCACAAAGCACAAGGTCCTGCTAACCCATCCACCGATGATGTTGCTGCGGGGGGAGGATCGGGCCATAGTCGTAGTACCACCGAGGAAGACGAAGATTGGGATGAGATCGACTCGGCTTCGGACTTGGATCTTGCTGCTCGAGCCTTGGGTGTCTCTCCCGACGGCATGGCCACTGTGAAAGGCAGAGGCAAGAAAAATCGGTCTCCATACGGGTTACCGGTAGAGCCCAATCCGGGTGCACGGTCTAGTACACCCGGTAGCGGTCCTAGTGCTTCGCAGTCATCGATCTGGGCGGACCCCAGAAGACTATCGAACGTCGAGGAGAATGGCGATGGCGATCAGCGTCAGTCGCGCCCGGAGAGCAAGTCGAAGCGCAGACGCTCCTCCATCTTCCCAAGTCCCAGTCCGAAGCGTCCGCCGTCTCGGGGGTGGAAGGCGGGCAAGTCAGGCTCTGTGAGGTCCGCGCCTCCACAGTCCATTGGGTCTGACAGTCCTGTCGCTGATCCGAAGTTGGCGATGACCCCGCAGAACATCAAGCCATTACTCGAGAACGCTCGAGAGGTGGAAACGCGATTGAACGACTGTATTGAGGAGCTTCGTGCCTTGCTGATATCGAAGCCCCCCGGTGACATTGGTCCATAGCGCATTTGCCCTTCTGGCGTTCAGGAAAGGACAGTTGTTATCGTACTACGTCGGTTGTCGCTCGCTATCTTAATGCTCTTGATATTCTGGCATGTTATACATTGCTATCCTATTGACATGGTCTACGTTCATGCTAGTTATGTGCGCATTGCATGCATATATATTCTATGGTTGCAATTGATTCCATGATTCATCCGTTTCCACCCATGGGATGATGTGTTTTCTTGATATCCCCACACACTGCTCGAGTTGAAGCTCTCATGCCTTGGAAGACGCAGGGGGTATTCTGTGGAGTTAACCGCTCAAGAAATCTAAGCTCGGCACCGACGCCGAAGACATGAGAAAACAAAGCATTTGCCAGTTCTGGTTTGAGTCATGTACTGTACATCTGTAGCGCCAGCGGGTCGTAGTTAGCTTAGAATGCGACATACACTGGTTGGGGTTCGAAGCGGCATACCTCTACCTGCGAGGTGCCAAGGGTATCAGCCTCTCTAGAGTGGGCGGAGATACTTCGTGACTGCTCTTACTTGTCAAAATCAGCATTGCAACTCAAGCTCACACCCATTCATACCTATCCCAATGCCGGTCGTCTCAGTCAAACATCGTCTTCCATTTCGAGACCAGCATCTAAGTTGGCACCCTCCTTGGTAATATCACTGCCATTCGAGAAGCGCCATGCCATTTTGCCTTCATCGTCCCACATCTCTACGCTGGCCGTCTCCAGGACAGCGACGGGAAATCCACGAAGGCCCAACACCCGCCTCAAATTTAAGGATGCTGAGAGCAGGGAATCAAAGGGGGACCGTACTAAACCTTTTCTCTTCAGGCTGACATCGAGTTTCTTCAACTGCGGGACAAGAAACCTGTCAGACTGTCCCTCCATCTCGATGAGAAGGCCGAAGAAGAGGCGCGTCTCTCTTCTAACATCGCCCGTATAGTGCCCCTTGATGGAGAGTTCCTCTAGCGAGGGTACCGATTTCAGGAGGTCTTGTAACCTGTCCACATCGTTGAAAATGTCCCGACAATTGAGCTCCAGGCTCTTGAGCTGACAGCCGGAATTCTTCAGCATTGTAACCAAGGGAGGAATAACCGAAGGGGCATTGAAGAAGTCCCAGGGGGAAACCGCAAGATGCAGCTCCCGTAATACTGGAGCCATTACGCCTGGCAAGATGGCGACATATTCTTCGTCTGCGAAGGAGACCTGAAGGTCCTCCAGACTGTGTAAGAGTATTGGCTGGAGTTGTTGTACCGGAGAGTGCCATATATTGATGTGTAGTGACCTGAGGGATCGGCAGAGGTGTAGTGCTCGGAATGAGGGGTGGTGAAGGACGACACGTTCAAGGGATATACGAGTAATCTGGGACCAGGAGAATCCAACGTCCCTGACGTAGTCAAGGGGGGTCATCACAGAAGATATCGATTGGAGCTTCGGCATCGAGAGATTCCCCAATGAAATGGGGGCGACTTTCTCCTCGCGATGCTGCCTCAGCAGCAGATTCTCCAGGAGCGGCAGCTCGGTCAGCTTATCAAGGAGCTGGTGTAGCATCGCCGCGTGCATCTTGAGTGAAAGAGATCTGCAATGCGGTAACCATGATCTCCACGTATTTACACATCCTTCTAAGTCCTCTGAGGGGTCAGCGGCCATCAGGAAAAAGGGGAAGGTCTGAAGGTCTAAATATCTAAATATATTTTTGATCCAGGTATAGCAATTGGGCAGGGGTGAACTGTTGGGTCCACTGGTTGTAATCTACTTCTGTATTCAATAATGTATCATATCCCATACACAAAATGCACAAAATGTCTTGCTAGGGTTGTATCAATACAGGGTCTGAACGACCCAAATCAAGGTTCTAAAGGTCTGACGCGCTGAAAGAATTTCGCGCCCTGTGATTGGTCAAGCAGAGTCTGACGCGTCTAAAAAGGCTGATGCTCAGCCTTTTCAGACCCTTCCCTTTTTACTGATGCGTCGACGGTCAGAATGAGCTTCAATGGTCGGTTCCCAGATCGAGACACGCCGAAATGTATCAGGTCAGTGCGAGCTTTGATTGCCTTCGCCACTTCGACCGACTGGCCAGGTAGCATGGAGGTGGTTTCCGCTAATGTCATTTCGACCTCGGACCACAGCTCGGAGGTCGATGATGCACATTGCCTCCATCGGTTGCAGACATGAGTCAGAGCCACGAGGGGGAGTAGTGCATTCCCACCAGCGGGGATACTTTCTTGAATATCACGATATAGCATAAATATTTTGGAGAGCAGCTCGAACGGAAGTCGATGAACTGGCGGCACAAAGTCCCTCTGGTCTTCTGCTTCTGCCACATGCGAAGTCCCCGTTGGAAGCATCGTACCTGTCACCGTCGGTGGCCAGAATTTGAGCAGGTGCATGACACATCGAGAGCTGTTCTCGTGCACTTACTATACTACAATGATCCACTTGCGCGAATGTGAATCTGCTGAAAGATACCTCAGCAAAGTTAGGCGAAAACAATCAACTGTTAGCAGCAGGCAGAACAGGGAAGCATAAGATGGTGGCCATAAGCACACCAGGCCCAAACACATACACAAACCAAAGGCAAGGTCAATTGCACGGACTGAGGAACAAAGGAAATACAGTGGCTCAGTACATAGTCAAGCTATTTGTACCTATTTGTCCCAGTGGCTCTGCAACCAATACAACCAAAACCTAACATCAACTTCGGATCTGACGGTATGTGTTGGATGATGCCCCTCATGAAATTCTAGTAGACAGCAGAGGCTGTCTCTTATGCGCAAACTCACTCGGATTGAGGAGGACGAGCGGGATGTAGGCATCATGCTGACGCAGGCACAATCATATATATATGCCCGTCTCCGACACCTCGGGAGTTGCAGTCTTTAGGGCCGGGCAAAAGATCGTACAAAAGGGAATTGCAGCCAATCAGTGCCCTCGCAATTTCCCTTCTTTTGCCGGCCCAAGTGTGAACGCTCACGCTCGACAGCTGCTCCGAATACACTGCGGAACACTAGGAGTCAGTAGAATGACTACAAAATTGTGAATGCATCCATTCGTGTACTGATCCTACCACTCCTTGAACGGAGACTCACGGATGGCAAGACATTGGGCAAACCCTGTCTTTCAGTAATAAAGCACCGAGTGGGTCTGCACAGACAGCCTTTTGAGTCACGCGCGAAATGAGTTGGCATACTTTGATACAGGATAATAGCAGGTAAGTCTTGAAGGCCTACGGCTGTCAACCACCCCAAACTATTACTCAGGATGATCATCGAAGTCTGAGCCTTCCTTAGTAACTTGTCCGCCGTCTGACATATGCCAGGATTTTTCTCCATTTTCTCCCCAAATTCTGATAGATGCATTCTCGAGTACGGAGATAGAAAATTCGTAGCGACCCAGCAGGCGTCTGAGGTTCAGCATATTCGAAATGGCGGAATCACTAGGGGATTGAACTATTCCTATCTTCTCGAGGCTGACGTCGAGCTTCTTCAACCTGGGGACAAGGTAGTCATCGGGCGGTATCTGAAGGAAGAGACGGAAGAAGAGCAAAGTCTCTCTTCTGATATCGGACGAGTAATATCCCTTCATGACGAGCTCCTCCAGTGATGGCACAGTATTGAAGAGTCGACGTAGCTCGTCTGCGTCGTCGAAGATATCGCGGCAGTTGAGGTCCATGCTTGTCAGCTGACAACCCGAACTTGTCAACATTGAAATCAATGGCGGAATGATGGACGGTCCACCATCCCAGTGCCATGCTTCCAGATGAAGTACCCGTAAGGCCGGGGCAAGAATGGCTGGAAGGAGGACGGTATACTCCTCGTCTTCGAAGCACAGAGTCAGATCCTCCAGGCCGGGTAGGGATATCGGGCCAAGTCCTTCCACCGAACAATATGTGATGTTGATATACAACGAGCGCAGTGATTGACATCGGGAAAGCACGGAAAATGACGAGTTGTCAAGGATCACACATTCCATGGATATACGTGAAATCTGATCCCAAGGAAATGCGGAGTCGATGAGATGAGGGGGAATGAGATCTGAGGTAAGCTCTCTGAGTTTGGGCATCCGGACCCTCCCTAACTGAAGCGGGTCTCCGTGATACCCCGGCTCCGACTTGACATGCAAAGACTCGAGCAATGGCATCTCCGCGAGCTGGTCCAGCAGCTCGCGTATCATCGGCGTTCCCGTTGCAAGAGTCAGAGACTTGCAGCGGGGTAACCAAGATCTCCAGGCATCCATAGACTGCTGTAAATTTCTGGATGGACCACATGTGATCCACAGAGCAACGATCAACGATAGATTTCCGGATCGAGCAACGCAAAATTGCGCCAGCTCCGTGCGTGACTTGATTCTCCTCTCTACCACACGGGCTTCAAATGATCCCGTCGCGCGTGTAAAGGGGGAAACCGATATTACTATTCTGTGCCATATCTGAGGGGTGGATGATGCGCACTGCCGCCATCGATCGCAAACGTGGGTTAAAACCACGAGTGGGAAGAGATCTTGTACATAGATAGGCCGGACCAAGATATCCCAATACACTAGAAAGATCTCCGAGAGCAGCTCAGCGGGCAGTCGGTGTACCGGCGGTACAGATTCGGACGCGCTCAACGCGCCTTCTACAAGCGCAGGGCTGGTCTGAAGCATCGCAACCTATCGCGAGTGCTCAACATCACCGTACGATTAATGGAGCTACGTGTGCACTGACAGACGAAGATGCAGCTGGCCACTAGATCCTCAGCGAAACCCAGCAAGTACCCTGCGCATTGAGAGGGTTAGAGGACAGTCACTCTGAGAGTCTGCAGGTGCCAGTGTTGACGTTGCAGAGCCAGCGGATACGGGAAAGGCCGGTCTGTACTCACGCCTGTGGACTACCGGAAGCGCCCGACGAGAGGACCCCGGCATACTGGTATATATGTTTGATCCTAGTGCGGACATAAACGGCCAATTTTGAGGCCCTATGTCGGATATTTAGGCGGACATAAAGCCCAAAATTTCGGTCCATGTCCAATATATCACGGCGGACACAAGGGCCTTGCCGGTCTTGGTGTTCGATCACCTGGCGGACATACCGAGTCGTCGAAGTGTCACACCCAGTAGTCCTTGTACTAGGTTGAGTGGTGTCTCTTATGCTTCTCAGTCAACTGTCAGCTCGTCTTGTGTATATCCAGGTATATCCTCAGCAACGGTGAATGAAATGCAAGCTTTGGAAACAGTGGTGGATCTTAGGAAGACTGAAATACAATATCCCGGAGTAATCATGTCACGATCTACTCGTTGCAGCGTTGGGCGTGTGCCGGTTTCGAGGTTGGATCCGTTTGGCGGACACACCGGGGGGCGCCCGAGCATAGGTCACTTATGCGGACATAAGCAGCCCAATTTGGGCTGACCGGATCCTAGAGGCGGACATATCCGGTCCAAATGTGTGAGGCCATAAGGGCCGAAAATCGGGCACTTAGGATCAAACATCAGTACCCATATGCCGGGGTCCTCCGACGAGAGCAGGCGGATAACAGTTACGAATGGAGGCATTTTCTCGAAATATTCACCGCTCTTTGCTCAACCGCCTTGTCGAATCATTGCTAGTCACCTACCTCACCGCGTTCGTGAAAACCTCGAACTTCAAATTCAGGATGTCCACTAAGTACAGCACCACTGGCAGAGTAATCAGGAAACGCTGGTGTTGAAACTTGAAAGTTTGACGAACAGATCAGCAGAGCACGCCTTATAAGCACCCGACGTCTCCCGCCCTATTTGACCACACTCTGCCAGAACGTGTATTATTTCACTGGACCAAACACGAATCCGAGAGAATAGCGGTCTGTACGCGAGACAATCTATTAGGTATAATAAGTACGGTAGTCCGTAGACGGTCAGAGTCATTCTAAGTCTTTTTACATTGTTTCCGACCTGTTAAATCTACAGGAGGTGAATAGACTGATAAAGAAGTCATAAGGACTGGTTAGTGCAGCGCCCTAAGAAAATACTCGACAAACAAGGATTATCGTAATACCGTCTCCGTAGGTCAACGTATCCGCACTTTACACGAAACTGCCTGTTCCAGGCCGACTCTTCTTAAAATCCGAGGAAGATCATATCTAGAGGAATATCACGGATTTGCCAGCCATGCTGAGCGCACTATATATTGACGAGGTGCTGTAAAACACTGGTTCTTCTCTGTGGAGGTGTCATGATGCATAGGGAGGGGCTGGTGAGCGGAGAGTCCGAGGATGGGTATCATGCCCATGTGATGCAAAAGTCGGATCAGTTGCGACAAGGGGGGATTGATCCATTATTGACATCGAACAGTGCTCGGTATACGTCGAAGCCGACAATGGATGGGCGCCAATGGTAGGCATCGTATGACCTCCCGAGGCTCTGGACCATGCTTGCTCCTCTGGTGACCAATGAATAAGTTGTTCGAAGTAGCCGTCAAACGTTGTATACCTACCGAGCAGAAGATGATGCTGCCTTGACAATTTGCGGAACCTAATGACAAAAAACGAGACTACGCAGACACAAATTATCACGGGCACAGTAGCAGCAACGACAATTCCTATTTTGTAAGTCGCGTTCGAGTCCGAAGGCCGTGAAGTAAGAGCAGACACTGTGACTGTCACCAGGGATGTCATGGTCGTTGAGCTCTCTGCTCGCGCCGTCGTGTTATATAAGATGTAATCCAGGAAGCTAGCAGTACCGTTCCCCAAGTTCGTCATCTTAATAGTGTGTTCTCCAAGAGAAAGCGGGTCCGATTCGAAATAGGCCTGATGGTATTCGGTGGTCGGGGGAGATATGTACAAATACGGTGTGGCCGCGCCGTCATCCAAGATGAAGGAAGCATTGGCACCCTGGGGACCCACAGTACCGTACACGCCAATCCAAGTGCCTTTAATCTGAATTACAACATTTGCAGAGGAACGGGCCGGGACCGGAACACACACCATTGAAGGTGAACATCATGCTCAGATTTGATGTCGTTGCACCGGATGTAGTCCCCCAGTACTCCTGCTGCACACCACCATATGTCCAGCTCCCGAAATAGATGATACGAGGGTCTCTATCGTCAACCGTGATTTGTTCCATTTACCGACGCTCTTCAGTTCTGCGTCGAGTCTCCTCCTGTGGTGAGGACGCACTAGCAGAAGAGCTGCGCTGGGAGAAGGGGCGGCAAGACAGAGGAGTGTCACTGCAAACGGTCTTCGGAGCTCTACCCAAGCAAACTGTATTTATGTACCAGATGTGTGAATGATAGATGAAGATCATACCGAGCGAACTGCCAAGATGACCTTCTGATGAGGTTCACGCGCACATCCTCGATCCCTCTAGGTTGGTCTTGTACCATATATAGGCTATACGGTTGCTGCCTCTGGGGCCAATAAAGCCCTATCATGGCAACAAACGGTATGAACGCGTTCTCAAAGCACAGTACATCGCTGGCCTACCTGCCTTCGAATAGAGTTGCATCAGAATGATAGATAGCAAGAAAATAGTTCAGTCGAAACAATGCCGCACGGACGCTCGGGAACCACCACTGGCACTTGCGTAGACACCCACGAATCGTCGAAACAATCCCTACTAGAACAATCAATTTCGCGCAAAAGGTCAAAGTGACGATATCATAGGGATTCCACAAGACTAAGGAAAACGCACAAAGGTTCAGGCGCACATATGCAGGCGAAAACGATCGCCACATCTATCGGACTGGCTACTCAAGCTTCAAGATTTGATAGCTCTTGCCACTGGCACCTCCCCTAGCAGGCATAGAGAGGCGCTCTGCACGGATCCTTCCGGGGAACAGGTCTCAAAGGGTGCAGCCTGTACAGCCCCGCATCAGCTTCGACGCAGTCATAGCGAACGGCCTTGCGTACTTTCTCACAGGGACCCTGTCAATCTGTCTTGCCCGTGAATATTTGAATGCGCACTTGATGTCATACAGTTATAGGAGAACCAGTTGGGGCCTCGACAAATCTGTTGGCGTGCCGTTTGCTGGCTCCTATCTGCCGCAAAGTCAGTATCAGACCTTGAATAAGCTTAAATCCTGGTGAATGTGACAGACGCACCTATGCAACGATGCCGAATGAGGAGATCGTGTAACCCTTCGAGAGAATATCTAGAAACTCGATCATCAGACTCGTATTCATCAAAAGTCGCGATCCACAGCAATGCACCAAGTAAAATATGGAGTCTATCTTCCAGATGGTCGTCCTACACAGACGTGATATCAACGTGCCTTGCGAGGGTCGTGGACCGCAATGGAGTGACGACGCCACCGAACCACCAAGCAGCGCGTTATACCCTGCCACCGCCACAGCAAGGATGGAGAGACACAGCAGTTCGACTGATGGGATATGATAGATTGATGGGTGTCTGCCCCGGCGTCAGGTAATCCGAACTGGAATAGCATAGCATAGCATCCACCCTCCTGTACAGCCATGTCGCGGTTTCATTGCACAATACCCTAGCAGCAATACACGGGGATGATCGACTCAACAGGCATAACATAACTCAGGCTACGGCGGCGCTAGGAACCTGAGCCAGACATCCAGCACACAGATAGACACGACATATAGCAAACACCAGCTACAACATGAAGCACAGACACAAGCGGGAGGACCAAGACGCAAGCAGCAGGCAGGCAGGCAACTCGAACGCCGATATTTCTTCATTTCTTGGCCTTCCCATTAGCGCCCAGAGAAGTGCATAGACTGTTGCGTTCCAATACAGCGTGCTCGTCGGCGTCGTACTCGATCCCGAGGTCTTCAGCCAGATTGGTGGCGTCCTGCCGAGGTAGAGCGTCTGTGGCGAGATCCCAGAAGCTATAGCGGATTAATGATATGCACCGACAGAAGAAATGAGGTACAACGCGGAGGAGCCCCATTCTATTCCGGAAGAGGGACCTACTCTTTGAATATCTTCCTGCGTCGGACCCATTCCATTCGCCATTTGACCCAGTCGGCGTCCAACTGAGCGATTTCGGCCGCTGATACGAGAGGCGTGCCAGAACGCAGTGGTTCAAGGTGCTTTCGTGCGTTCGCAACCTAGCGCATATAGCCGAGACACGTTGAAGGGGATACGCTGGTATACTCTGAGCAAACACGCGATAAGACTGGATACGTACGGCTGCAGCGACTTCGTCTATCAGAGTGGCCAGCTCCGCATCGGTCGGCGTGCTCTTCAACTTGGCTAGCTCTGAAAAGCCATATAAATCACGACAAAGACTGTACCATTCCGCAACGTGGCGCACCTGCTGACGCGACTTTCACCTCAGCGGCCAACGCAGTATTTTCTTCCTCGATGGCTTTGTACTCGGTCTCCAATGCAGAGAGTTTCTCCGCGGGCAATTCTCCGAGGTTGGCCTGATTCGCTACGAAGAAAGTCGTTTTACCTAATGCGGCCCCCACGATTCAATGGTCCACTTCGGATCCAGAACTCATGTGCGAGGCAGTATACCGTATGACTTCTGCACCACCTCTTTCTTCTCAGCAAGGGCTACTAAAATCTTCTGAGTGGCAGTTTTCGGCACGGCGCCCTTGAGATTCGCCGAGACATCCACAGCTCCGAAGGGGCGGTTCATCTGCAGCTTATGTCAATGAATGGTGTTGAAGGGACAGAAAACCATGAACCTTCTTGATATATGCTAATACCCTGTCTTCCGCTGCGCTTGCCGAACACGTTCAGATGAGTCGATGTGCAGGACTCGTCTGCGCACCTTCCTGGCCTTTCAAAACTTTGACATCGCTCTTGGTCTTGGTTGTCATCGTCGCAAATCAAGCAGAGGCGAGGCGAGCGGAAAAGCGAGTCCGTCGGCGCCAGGCGTTGACGTGTCGTAGCCTGTAGGTGTGCAAGACGCGAACTGTCACGCGTACTCGCAAACTCATCGACATCAGGTGACCTGGTCAGTCACATTCTCGTGTCACGCGGCTCCCATTAACGAGTCGCCGCAGCGCCACATAGAATGCGAGCCTGGTCACGAAGCGCAACCTTGTCTCTTATTCGCATCCATCATGCCTGCGTATTATGCACTCTGCATAAGCAAAAGTCCTTCTATAGAATATGATATCGAAATTCATACTCTACAAAAGGACGGCGACATTGGCGAGTACAAGGTTGGCACCATGCACCGAAGTCTCACACAGGCCGAGTTCTATGTGGTTCGTTACCTTGGCTCTTGCCACACGGGCCAGAAAGAGAGAAGCACCACTGATTGATTCTCAAGCTCGACGAGCCCGCACGGAAACAGAGCGTCGAGGAGCTGCGGAAGTGGAGTGAAGAATGTATCGCCAACGAGGACGACCTCTCCGCGAGGGCAACGGTTTACCGGAAATGGCACGTAGTGAAACCGGAAGTGGAAGATTTGAAGGGATGTTCTCTCAAGCTTGCAGTCGTTGGTGCGTCAACTTGTCGTCACCTTGACTCACAGCGCGACTGATCATTATAAAGTATCCCCGCCGCCACTGCCCTCCCCCCCTACTACGCCGTCAATCGGTCTTGCGTCAATCTGCCAAGAATGCAGTGTGTGCTCATGTATGATGCATGTCTATGAACTAATGACCGTCAGATCCTGCAAAAGTCCTAGAAAAGATTGCCCGGAGCTATGGCAAACCTTCGTCCGAAGCCGAGCCTAAGAACATGTGTGATAGGCAGCACCCCTCAAACATCCTTGGGGCTTACAACGGACGGCCATTGTACCTAACCCCCCCTCCAATCGCCATATTTCACCCCGTCTTCGCCCAGATGACTAGAGAATCGCGCCAGCCTGCCCGCCTCCATGACTTCACAGCGGACGAAATCGATGCAGCATACAAATTTCTACTCGCTTGCACCGAAAATTATCTCGACGAATCCGAGTTTCAAGAAGCTATGCAGCACTTCCCTTTCATTGGCAGGACCAGATTCTGGCACGAATTAAACATCAACTTATCGAGCGGCCAGACCAGGTCAATGCGACTTGACGGTGGTTCCTCCGTCGACGTGGCTCTGCCTGGTGCTAAATTGGCGGCAGCATACACCGCTTTAGGAGAACTGAAGAAGTTGGGCGAGCAGGAGGCGGATGCCTCGATGCAGGCGATGGCTGCACACATGCAGCTAGTTTTGCACAATAATCAGGTATGTCATCGCGAGCTGGAGCTCGTGCGATGTTTTGCTCATCAACATCAATAGTATGAGCTGATCCGGCAACACTCCTGCTGTCCTGTGCTGCTCGTGGCCCTCTCCGGCGACATCTTAATCATCTGGGGTGGTGTCTATGGCGAGCGGTTCTTGTACGAGCCTCTGATGACTATTCGTGCTGGACTGCAGCCTAGCATGTATTCCGACGACCCTGGCTTTGGCGGCAATCACGTTGGCGCCGGTGTTCTCGAGGTCGCCAAGGTCCTCAGGGTTCTGCGAAGAGGTGTCGACGCTCTTGAGACCTATTACGAGGGGCTCTTATCGTCATTGCCAAAGATCAAGGAGAAAAAACCGTCTCGACCAGGCTCCCGGGTGAAGTCCAACGCCGGTGGAGCGTGGACGCAGCCTGTTGATCTGCCTCCTGCTTCCCCACACTGGTCGACTTTCATTATCGGGGGAGTATCCTACAAACTCCAGTATGCGGAAACGCTCGTCCCCGAAAGCATTCAGAAAACCGTCTATCGTGCCACAGTAAGTCCGCGATTGAATGATCGCACTGACAAAGTCGTCGTCAAATTCACGCACTGCTACGGCGAAGAGGGTCACCGCTTGCTCGCGGGCAATGGTCTGGCGCCCGAGCTGTACTACTGCGCATACGAGCCCACTGTAGACATGATTGTCGTCGTCATGGCCTTCATGCCTGGGAAGGTGTCTGGGTCGGGTGTATCGCTTTCTCACAAACAGCAGGGCGACCTGAAGCGCGCAGTGGCTCTCCTTCACGGCGCCGACCTCGTCTTTGGGGATCTCCGCCGGCCGAACATCATCGCGCATGATGACACGGTTGCTTTGGTGGATTTTGAGTGGTGCGGGGCCGCGATGGATAACGCGGAGCAAGGAAAACGCCGAGCGAGGTATCCCGTCGATATCAACCTCAGCGATATCGAGTGGGCACCTGGGGTGCGGCGCTATGGGTATATCGAGAAGGCGCATGACTTGTTCATGCTAAAGTCCCTATGTACAGATGTTTAGGCTTGGTGTGCATGATTATGTATAGCCTTGATGTTGGTGAACGGGTTTCAATCTTCCTTATGTGAGTTCCACCTGCCAGCTCAGAACACGCTCTTTCCTGCTGGCGCTCGCGTTTTGAGTGCAGCCCAGCCTGGTCCCTGTCCCCCGTCTCACTCTACACCCCGGCTCGAACCACCGAACGCATGCTTATCATGCCAAAGCCCATTCATCGTATTCGTGTTCTCAGCCTCGACCACCCGAGTAGTAGTACTGTTCAGGATTGCCACCGAGTACGCTTTGTAAAGATTGTATGGTAGGGATATTTTTTCTGCAGTAGTGTTATATTTTGTACATGTGTGGGTCTAGAGACGCCCTCGCGCTGCACTGGCACGGAGTCCAGACTAGACTCAATCGATGCTTGGGATTTTTTTTGGCTCTGTGAGACTAATGTGAGATGGAGGAGTCTGTCAGTTGCGCCCTTGATGCATTAGCGTACGTTGTTCCCGATATCTATGTTCACAGCAGACATAGTGACCTAGGAAAACAACTCGATTTCGTTCGCTCTTGTACAACTCAACACACCTACGTAGACTCCGATCCTGTCGGAGGCGGACATCACCGAGATGTCGCAAACTTAACCTCAGAAGACTAACACCGGATACCAGTGTCTCAGCCAATTGCTTAAAGATCGCCCTCTAGAAAGAGCGGCGTCCCAGAGTACCAGAACGAGCAAGTCGCTGGTACGTCACGCCAGCCAGGCATGCATCTTTAGTCGCGGTACAACCGCTCCAGTCAGGGTCAGGCTGGCCGGCGTCGATGCACTTGTTGTAATCTGGAAAGGCCGCCAAAATCAGTAAAGTGCCTTATAACGCGTAGAAGACACTACGCACTATTCATGCAGGTGTTCGCGTCGACGATGGCGGTCCCGCTAGCGGCAGCGGAGCTAGCCGTGCTCGTACCTATAGCAGAGCTAGAGGGTGCGGCGGAGGAGGACTGGGTGGCGGCCGCAGAGGATGAGGAGTCAGCGGTCGAAGAGGCGACTGCCGTGCTGCTGGCTGCAGCAGATGAGGAAGACCCGCCGGAGAAAGCCTCATTGCTCGTCCAGACAGGCGGACCGGGGATGGGGTATGAAGTAATACTACCTATGAATTTATTTGTGTTAGGATTTGTCTAATGACGTCACCTCTGTGCTTACCGCTATAGACGTTGAAGGTGATGCCGGGAGTGGTGGGAGTATAGCCGCCTGGGAAGGACACGAGAGCCTGAGATGTGGGTGTCTCCGTACCAGGGCCGGTGACTTGGACTTGGAAGCAGTCAGGGTAAAACTGAGCACCGGGATAGGTCTCAGCTTGGTGCAGGGCGATTCTTAAGATGGAGCTGAGTGGTCCGGTCGATACAGCAAAACCTTCGATCTCTCACATTTCATGACGGACAATGTACTGTCCCGGAGCGAGCGCCTTCGGTATGGTCACAGTCCAAGTGCTATTCTGTGCCGACATGATATCCGTAGCGGCCCACTTGCCGTTCTCGTAACCTGCTTCGTCAATCTTGAACCAAATGACGTCGGAGCCAGTGGGGGAATAGCTGGTGATATCGGTGTTGCTAGGCACTTTCCCCATGTAAGTAATGACTGGGCCCTGTTGGCGGTAAATTATGGGGAGCTATATGAGTTGCGTAGCGTTTGTGACTTACGACATGCGAACTGGGCCATGTAGTCCAGTGGAAGGCAATCTCATCCCCAGCGGCTGCTGAAGCTATGAGAGCGGCGGGCTTCGTACCGGAGCCCCCTGAGCCATTACATTGGATGCTTTCACGGCGAGTGACAGTCAGTACGTCTCTTCAGGTACCCATTGAACAACTCACTCACTCAAGGAGTGTGAGATCTTCGACGGGCCCATTTCCTGGAATAGCTCTCTCAATACGCTGGGGGACGGGGCTTTCGTATGGGTCCTGGTAGGGCTGATATCCGGTGTAAACTTGTCCGCCTATCGTGACTTGATCAACATATCCATGGGCAGCGACCCGCAGAACCAAAGCAAGGACGGGTAGGAAGGATTGGGCACGGAACATCTTGTACAGTGGGTCGACTGGGGCAGACTCGCCTAGGGTCAGTCTTTATAGAGACGCCAGCTGAGTATGAACCTACGGACGAAGCGCGGGCTTCAGCCAAAAGCGATGTCAGGCGACTTCAGGAAATGAAAGTGTGGACGCAGAAGCTCTGGCGGGGTAGTCAAGGATCGGAGAAGGAAGGATGCAGGCAGTCTGTTAAGCTCGAAGGGCACGATGCGTGATTTTCATATGTTGTGGGAGGAATGATGCGAACGACCGGATTGGTGACTCTGAAGCAGGCTGCTCACGGCCGCCGAGGGCCAGCAATTACAGCAGTAGCTGTAGTTTCTCTACCTCGGCGTCCAAGTAAGCAGGAACATCGTGCTGGTACCGTCGGCACTGTCTTTGGATACGGGCGGAATCCCTCAGTTGATCAGTGCCGCATTCGGCCAATGTCGGCTTAACCACCGCAGGCCTCTGAGTCCTCTACCGAACGCTTGCTTCAGGCACCATTACCACGTCCATTTGTCTTCATCCGCCAGTCGCTATGGCTTCGGGTACACATATGAAGGGTCTGGCCACGGTCCTGGAATTGCTGGCATCCAGGTCATGATAACGCCAGTCTTCAGGCTCACCACGCCAAATGGGAACTTCAGAGCTGTATAGAGTTCATCTACGGCCTAATTAATGCCCCACCTGTTCAAGAATCGCAAGTAGCTGCAAGCATAAGTCACATATGTCGATGATAATCCAATAGGGCAGAGGCACAATACCTCAACGCAGTTATGCGTCATGGATACACGAATCGACTCGCGGACCACTCAATTTTCCCCGAGTCGATAGTAAGAGCTCGTCATGCCGATTCGATTTGCGCTGTAGAGTTACTAATAGGATGGCCTGACAACAGCCGTATTGTGACCACCTTGTGAACATCCGTGACATCGACCAAAAGAGTTTCTCAGCACGGAGAACATCCATCAGGATGCTGCATCGTACCATTCTCCTCGCACTCTAGGCCTTTCCGCCCAGTTCTGTGGTGCGTTCCAGCCCGCTTTCCAGCCGCTTCATGCGGTTCAGGAAGTTGGGTACTTCCTTCCTGTGGATGCCAGTGAATGGAGCGTGGGCGTGTGAATGATGTCATGCTGCTCTTTCATTATCGTCGGATCAAATATGGGCCGTTGTGTAGTTAACGTTGAAGCAGTGCCTGTGGCACGAGCCACCCACTCGGAGTCTTGGCCTCGCTCGCCAAGGGGTCGCACTGACATGAGCGGTCGCAAACCAGCGTTCAACGTTCAACGCTCAGTGGCGAAAATTAAGGCACAATTTGGTCGTGACGATCCCTGCTTCAGGGAAAGCCACATAACTAGCTTGAAGGCACAGCAAATACACATTCTCCATAATTAACATATGTACAGCAGTTTAACTATCCGGAAAGCCCACACATCTGAAGAAGACATCAAGAAGACAGAAATTCATATCGAGATTCGAACTAGTCAATTAATCCAATCCAATGCTTGAACATGCTGAGCACGATGCCCGCTCAAGTCACGAGTCCTGAGTACACGGGTGAGCGACACTCGACCGTGCGACTTGAGGACTCGCTATCTGATCACTTAATTGCCGGTCCAGACGGCGGGGCCAGGGATCGGGTACGAGGTGAAGTTGGCTACAGTTCAATGTACACGTTAACCGACTTCCAAAACTGCAGACGTGAGGATCAAAGACACGTACTGTAGACGTTGAAAGCGATTCCGGGGGTCGTAGCAGTGTAAGCACCGGGGAAGGAGACGAGGTAGCTTCCGCTGGGGGTCTTGTTTCCGGACCCGGTCACCCGGATCTGGAAGCAGTCGGGGTAGCTCTGGGCGCCCGGATACGTCTGCGCCTGATGCAAGGCGATGCTGCGCATCAGGTATCAGTCAACTCAATGTCTAAATGAAAAGAGGATAACTCCCACATCTCGTGGCGGACGATGTACTGCCCCGGAGCAAGCGAGCTCGGGATAGTGACCGTCCAGGTGCTGTTTTGCGCGGAGAGGACGTCGGTGGCGGCCCACTTGCCGTTAGAGTATCCACCTTCGTCGATCTTGAACCAGATGACGTCCGAGCCGGTGGGCGAGTACTTGGTAACGTCGGTGCTGCTCGGCACCTTGCCAAGGTAGGTGATTACGGGACCCTGCAGTATTGTCTTGATTGGAGGCTGATCGACTAGAATATGTATGAGATGCTTACGACGTGCGAAGACGGCCAGGTGGTCCAATGGAAGGCGATCTTGCCACCCGCCGCAATAGTGGCCACGAGGGGCGCCGGAGAGCTGCCTCCGCCATTCTCCCCGTTGCATTGAACGCTGTGTGACAGTAACAAGGTGAAACTCAGTCCATGCGGTGGTGATTATGCGGGCTTACTCGATTGTAGTTAGGGCTGTGACGGGGCCGTTCCCTGGGATGGGACGCTCGATGCGCTGGGGGGCCGGGGTCGTGTACGGGTCGTTGTAAGGCAGGTACCCAGTGTACTGGGTGCCACCAACGTTGAGGGTATCAACGTACCCGTGGGCTTGGACGCCGAGCGCACAGGCAACGATGGCGAAGAATGTCTTGGTGAAGGAGACCATTGCTACTACCGAGTGGGCGGTACTGGACCTGGCTAGCTTGGACAAGACCGAGCTGGAGAGCAGAGGCAACGTTGAGCTGGTATTTATAGGAAAGTAGACGTAATCTGGACTGTTTGATTCAGGGACTACAGAAACCGAAGGAAGGTTCCGAGAGTGGGCAGGTAATCTGTGGAAGTACGGTGCGCGTGTTCGTCGGTCATGATCTATGAGGAAGTGCAGCTATTTTGGCGAGGTTCATCCAACGTATGTGCGGAGATGAGGCAGCGACACGAAGACACTATTGACTTCTTTTGCTCTGTTAAATGGTGAGACATCGAGGTGAACCAAAGGTACGGTGTAGCGAAGGGATGCATACCTATTTTCTACCTTCGTAGCCATAGTGTAGCCAGCATAAGTAAGAATGCGAGTCGGAGCGGGCGACGACCTCGATTACTCCGGAGTTGAGCAGCATAGGCCGCTTGCGACATGGCCAAGACAAATGTTCGATGCCGCGTGATCCAGAGGTAGCCCATTCAGATGAACCTCGGGCAGTTCGCACTCGCCCAGTTCCTCTAAGAGGAATACCATCAGACCGTGAATGATGCGGTGTTCGGATGAAAGACCTCTGTGTCAAACGCATCCTGTATCGCGTCTACCCACATGACGATTATGGGGAGTCCGTTCTATAGCTTCTGGCCACTGCCATGCCTCGGCTTGAGGTTAGCAATGGGTGGTTCGGAAGAGGCAATTTCGCCCGGAACATGGGAGTCACCACGTGGTTGACTGGCTTCCTCCTCGGACTCTGTTCTAGGTCAGGTTCTGGTCGCCGCTAACGTGGAGCCATTTGCCAGTGTGCGCATACGAGTCGTCGACGGCTGCCGGGACGTCAAGACTTCCTTGAGTCAGTACCAATTTTCTGTTGGAGGCTTCCTGATAATGACGAGTCGCAATGGATGTCAACTCGATTAAAGTCTTTGATGAAGACCGCTGAAGGGATGTGCAGTCTCAACAAGCCGTTATTGTTCCCTCGGCCATCGCTCAAGGTACCGGTGATCATTTTGACATCAACAAGAAGAGTCTCCCGTGCTGAACACCTCCGAACTTTAACCGTAGAGTTGCCTAGGTTATGCTGTGTCGCTACTGCGAGAGGCAACGCTGGATAAATTTTGGATCAATACACCCTCGACATCAGAGTTAAATCCTAAAGAGACTCTAGCCAAGGCCCGCCCGGATTGGCCGGAGACGACTTGCCGGAACCGCACTCCACTTGTGTTTCGTGGGTAAACTCCGTTGGTATTGGCAATGCACGATTCTTAAGTTTCCTGCTCGTTTCGTCGTTGCATTCAAGGCCTCATGACATGCGTACTTGCAAATCTCATGGGCTCTTTCTTACTCCTTCATCTTTACCTCGGCGGGCCGGGCCTGGCTAGACCCGCTAATGTACCCTGCTTGCCCTGTGCCCCAGCAAGTTGCCTTACAGATTTTTACTCTCCTCGGATTCTCCCTCGACGATCCATTCGCCATACGCACGCAAGCACTCGAGGCCGACTCGGGGCGACTATCTACCGAACCCTACGCTCAGCCTATTTGTTCCTAGGTCTTCGACTCTCGGTAGGTAGCATTCCGGATTCGCCGGAATTGGGTGTCAACCTGACCCTGGTATTCTCCGACCGCTCAATCGGCGTCTCCTATCCTGAGGAAGTCAGGAAACCCGCTTTTTTCTACGCGTTCCCATCGGGTGGGGCCGTCATGTTTGCGACCTCTGCTGACGTCTCAGAGTCTACGGGCCGTTGCGGCCATGCGTGTCCAAGGTGCTCGTTGTGTCGATGGGCGCCCCTAAGGTGGCCCCATATATACTAATGGTCTCCAGAGACATCCCGCAGCGAACCATCGATTTGAGCCTATGGACACCCTCTGCGCACGCAGCGTCCCTCCTGAACTCGAACGTTCTTTCAGCCTCCTCCTCGTTCTCGTCCTCTGGATCCGGACTGCAATGAATCATCACCCATCTCTTCTCTGACTATCTGACCAGGCGCTTAGGGCCAATGTCCCGCAAACTGGACACGCAGGTTGTGAGTTGAGCTCTCGTAGCGATGGTCGTGAGATATAGCAAACACGTTGTGGGCTTTCTGCAACGATTCAATTCATTGGTTGCTACATACGTCATGCGTTCATTCACAGGAGGCCAGGTAATAATGCCGACAGACGTATATGAAGTCAGAGAATGTGCTGCAAACCTCATTGAAATCGTATACCGTTGTAAACCCCATACACATGTCGAAATCCGTCATGATGACGATTCAACTGGAGGCGTATCCCGAGAGAGCGGCCATAAATTTAGCGTCTACCCTTCGGTTCGACGACGCACGATCGCCTTTCTTTGGGGAAACGGGTCTTGCTGCAAGTGATGATCCGGGGTTAATGTGGCCATGAATGCATATGCTGGAGATTGGTTGCTCAACGGCGAAGCACTCAGAAGGCATCTTCATTATCATCCTTTGCGAACCTTCTGCCTCCAGGACATTCCCCATGTTTCTTCGAACTTATCAGTACCCTCGGCATACTTATAATTAATTTCCTGGGCGCGAAGATACAAACGTGTTTCCATTCGTGAGCCTGTCAGTTTGAGCGGGCTGTTACACTGCTGAACTAACCTACGCTGACTTTGAGTACGTACACGATATATAGGGAGCCAGGATATTTCGTCTACACTTAGTGACGGCGCCGCATGACGGATTGAAAACAAGGCCCAAGTCTTATTTCGTCTCCCATTAGTGGTGTTTATTATTTGCACTTGC